TCTCTCTCTCTCTCTCTCTCTCTCTCTCTCTCTCTCTCTCTCTCTCTCTCTCTCTCTCTCTCTCTCTCTCTCTCTCTCTCTCTCTGCTCTGCTCTGCTCTGCTCTTTCCACGGTGTCTCTCTACCATCCACCCCAGCTTCTCTCTACCGTTCCCTATATGCATTCGCAATCCGTGTCTTTCAGTCGACTATACACGCTTGACGAAATATCACATAGTGAATATATCCGGAAAGGAGTCGGTGAATGCGGCGAAGACGGCGAGTTCGTGTGTACGGTCGATGGTACCATGTAATATCGTTTCCTTGAGAGATGATCGACGTCTTCATCATGCAAATCGTCTATTTAACAGACACGTACCTTCTTCTCGTAACATGCTTCATACATCCTTTCTAATATTCGATGAACAAATCTTTCATTAATCTGTAGGATATTCACAGTTTCCGAGAATTCTAAATTTAAATAAATCTTTAGAACCTGCATTGCGAGATTGAACTATGTATTGGAAAATTAAAAAAAAAGTAAATTCAAAAAATTATTTTGAAGAAGCGTCAAAATTTAATTTAAATTTAAATTTGACATCGCACAATTTGTTCGATTAATATCGCAACATTCATCATCGACTCGCGATAGTACTCGCGGTACGACTCGAAGTAACGTATTCTCAATTCGTTGAGTGGCTGACATGATTCGATGATGGAGATCGAACACTATTACGGCAGTTGAAGACAGCATGCTCGGCACATGGAGGCAGAAGGTCTCCATGAACCTGTCGGAGAAAGGACGAAGAGATAGGAGAACCGTCTACGGATGGTTGCTTTTCACCCGTCAACTTCCGCGAATCCAGTAGAGCGGCAGAATGCAAGACGCCGACACCCTTTGAATAATGAAGCCCTCGGCTTCTATGCCTGTCTGACTTCGCCTCGCGAACGCTCGTTCTCCGTTACCATAGGAGAGAGAGAAATTCACGAATTTGTAGCGACGGTTTCCGGCTGTCTCCTCGAGACGCTTTCGGCGTTTTACAGATGATACCGCGAGCGTCTGTCGGGCCTCTGATGTCAAATTTTAATTGCGTTAGAGCCTTTCTAGAACGCGCAATGAAATAGCAGCTTGCTCGTCTCGTAGTTTGCACTTAGTGAATCAAAATGCGAGGTCTCTTTGAGTGGCGTAACATAATTTTCGGTGATTTATACGCCTCGCCGTTAAATATGAATGGTGTTACGTTAATTGTTGATTACAGTTTCTTAATAAAATAGAATAAAAAGTACACACATGTAATTAAATGTAAATCTGTACAAGCTATATTAAATTGTAACTTTAATTATTTTAGTTTATCTATATCTATTCATCTTTCTCTGTCTTTCTTCTTCTATCTCTTTCTTTTTCATCTTTTATAATAAAAATAATTGTTGATGTATAAGACAATTCTGATATAACTGTATTGCAATATTTGCAGCAATAATTCTTTACGGATCATAAAATTCAAGAGTGCTGGAAAAATCGTATTATATTTGTCATTTATGACTCGCCGTCAGCGAAATCGAAAGAATTAATGTCAAAAGGTATAGATTTTTATTCGAATAAATAAATATGCTTTAGGTTGACCACGCGTATTTATTTTCCCTCCGATTTACATGGCATATTTCTCGCGTGCCTGCGCGCGGACGTTTCGTTTCAATAAATTTTCATCGCGATAGGATTGGCTTCATTTTTCCATCGTGTGATTTGCCGCGGCTCGACGCGACGCGGCTCACAGGGGAATTTTTATATCGACTGTAAATATCCGTGTATAAAATACGAATGTTGACAATTTCGCGATAACGGCGATATGCCCAGAGTAATAGTGGTCGCGGGCAAATTGTAAAACGCAACTGCCATAAATCCAACAACGTGATCAGCACGAGTTTTCATGGCAGATATTGAAGGCTTGGAGACCGAAACGTCGAAAATGCCTTTTCCCGCAGTATTTACTGCGATACCATAAGCGTGTACTTTAGGAATCTCGCTTCTTCCTCAAATGGCGCTGATTTGTCAATAGGTGTACAAGCGAAGATCCCGCGACATGGAAACGGAAACGGACGAAGATCTGCTGCAATTTCCCACCGGTGGATCACTCAACGCGTCCAGCGGTTCGTTGTCCAGCGTGTCGCTATCTGACAAGAGCATGTCCACGGACAATGTCGAGGAATACTTTGGCGACGTGCCGTTCGCAGGTAAACAGCAACGCACGCTTGGCTGCACCGCATGACGCTTCTTTCTGCCCACGTGTACATGCATAACCGTTGTGTTACGTTTCTGTCTTTTTACCGTCTGCCTGAAACACCGCTAACGCGACAATCTGGGACATTTCTGGGGATACGCACTCTAGAACAAGTCTCTCGACTTTCCCCATTTAATTTATGCAATTTGTGTCATTGACTTGTGACTTGTACTGTATTGGTAAAAATGGCAGGGAGTTATGAGGCGAGTTGTATATATGTATAGTGTTATCTAAAGATCATGGTGTTCGATAATTTTACGTATGTATTAAATTATTTTCATTATTCTCATTGTTACCGACATTTAACATTTATTTGTGGCGTTTGTATAACAGCATAATCTTACACCGACCCGGAAGGTTTGATATAGATATAATGGCATTGAAGGTAGAAATCGATATTACTTTTATCCTTAATTCATTTTCTTTGCATTCATCTCATTAGCGTTTAATATATGGATATAAAAAGTTATTGCATTGTTATTATTAATTGTATAATGAAATATATGCAGAGCAGCTGGTCTGCATATAAAATAGTATCTAAAAAATATATTATTAAAACAATTGTATTGTGTAGATATATTGCTTGCAATTAAAATTTATTTTAATAATAGTTCGGTTTATGTAACTGATTACTTAAGTTCGCAAATAGGATCGTCTTGCATCGTCAAAGAAGTTTAGATAAGAGGACTTCATAAGAGACATACTTTGCATATTATGCGCAAACTATAAGGTATTACAATTATTATTGTATGCGTGTATTCATATGATACAAAAAAATATTTATATTTCCATTATACATTTTAAGAAATATTTTATATCGTATCTTTGCCCTTTTATAATGCCGTACCAAAACGAACCTTCCGGGTCTGCTCCCGAAAGAACAGATAAAT